CTGGAAGAACCCAGAAAACTGGTATATAAAGTATTCTTTGATCTTGTAATATGGTATACTTTACTTTACTGAACAGTTGTCTATCCTTTAGAGGGCACCACAACCCAACACCAGCATTTTGTTGGCTGTTGTGAGGGTTTGCTAGGCAATTTTATGTAAACTAGTTCACCAATGCTTTCTGAATGGTATGCCGCTCATACTGCTGTTGAAATAAACAATGAGCAGTCTGCTACCCAAATCATATGTAATTGACTGTGGTATGCTAGAACTGTGAAAATGTGTTCACAGCCCCTAAGCTACAGACTCAGATTTTATTAAAACTGATCATAATTATAATCAGCAGTTAGTCATGAAGGGCTATCTTGCAATCATTAAGGAAGAAAGCAGGGGCTTCTGAGTCGAAAGACTATACAAAGATTCTCAGAACATTATAGAGCAAGGGGGGAAAAAAGACCAAGTTTTTTTTCTTTCAGGCAGACATGAGAATGACGTTCTGTAAAAGAAATGCCACATTAGGAATTTTGGTCATGAAGTAATGATCTCTGCACATTTCCCATGTTTTTAAAAACTCATATGTTGTTATTTAGGACGGACTTAATCGGGAATATGAGAATAAAATAATGTTCTAGAGGGTGTGAAAGGGGGAGGGGGAGGGCAGGAGGGTAGAATGTCAGACGAGTATGTATCCCCAAATCAGAACCCTTTGAAAATAAAGCTTGTTACTTTTTTCGTTGTTTCTATACTCCTCTGTTCTGAGGTATTCTACTGAGCCTTTGATTGGACTTCTTCTAATTTAAGAGAAGCCAGTTTCTAAACAATGAAGGCCAGCTGCAGTATCATTTCTTGATCTGTCCTGTTTGTATCTCTTTTATTCACAAATATAAACAATACATTTAAAAAAAAAAAAAATTGGCTAAAGGTCAGACTGTAAACTGACTTGCACCTGTAAGCTGCAAACTGGTATAAGAGTAATCAGGTCAAAGGTCAGACTGTAAACTGACTTGCACCTGTAAGCTACAGACTGGGATTATTTATACAATGGTCTTCCCATTTGCACACCACCGGCTGTAGGTCAATTTCATTGATAAGTTGGTTGGACTAGTCTACCATGGTCAAGGTTATGGGTGTCGCAGTCTGTTGTTGTCTGGCATTTACATTTTAATTTCTGAGAAAGAGACGGCCTGTGACATAGGCTTTGTCACTCTCAAGGGGAGTTGTGTGTTAGACCCAGTATCTAAATGTTTTAGAAGTGTTAAAAGCTCTGGCATGGTGAAATATACAATACACGGTATGGGCGTGAGTGCGGAATATCCCTGTGACCTTGTGTGAAAGTCAGATCGCTCAAAGCCGACCTATCAGAGGTGAGGTGGTTAGTAGGTCGTCCAATCAGAAGTGAGCTAGTGTGTAGAGGTGGGCAAATGGGGAGACCAGCATAAAATTTACCCAAACTGGTATAAGAGTAATCAGGTCAAAGGTCAGACTGTTGAAAACTGATAGGAGTATAAACAGGTTACATGTCAAGCAACTGTTTAAAAACTGATTGAATGCTATTATCTCTAAAGTCATAAAGTCCCAGTCATACAGTCTCAGTTATATTGTCCAATACAAGATCAATATATGACTAGATTTTCACATAAAGGAATAAAAAAAATATATATATATAATATCATATAACAAGAGTAATCAGGTCAAAGGTCAGACTGTTGCAAACTGATATTAGTATAAACAGATTACATGACAAGCAACTGTTTAAAAACACTGATTAAATGCTATTATCTTAAAAGCCATAAAGTCCCAGTCATACAGTCTCAGTCATTTTGTCCCCAGTTATATTGTCCAACACCTGATCAATATATGACTAGATTTTCACATAAAGGATCTTAAAAATAATATCATATAACGGTACAGGTGGGTCAGACAAGGCAATGCCTAACATTCGAGCCATCAACATCATCACATACTTTGCCAGATGGCATAAACATTCATGTTTTGTCATAAACCTTTGTGTTCTGAATTCTATTTATATTCCTCCATGGCACAATCTTAGCCCATTCAGCATCAGTCTCTCTCTGTGTCTGCCTATGTCTCTTCTTCAGTAGTTGTTACAATTTTTTCAAAACAAATATCCTGTTCAACCATTAGAATTATAACTGGGATATAAAGTGTTCACTGAGTTCTCAGAGTATAGTTTTGTTACTTTATATATTGTGTGCTCACTTAGTCAAGACATTCATTTAATTTGTACTGTTATTTGAAATATTGTCTAGTACACCTTTTGGATTATGGTGTTTGTGGCTAAGGCGTTGCGAGTCTGTCTCGTAATTCCAACGTACTGCAATCGAAACCCACTGCTGGCAGTGTGGATTTTCATCATGGTATGGGGCGTTGCAGGTTGACCCAGGCTAAAATGGGTACCAAGATGGCTGTCCTGGGGAAGTAAAGACGGCCGGCGTAATGTTGACCACATTACCCACCCAGTGCCGATTAGTCTGTAGAAATATGGGACACTCTTCCCATATGCCTGATGCGCCTAAGGCGTGAAAAGGGATCTTTACTTACTTATTTACTTAACACCTTTTGGACTGAGATTACAATAGAAGTTGTATTATAAATACTTAGATAATCTTACTAACATTGTGTCATTAAATTGTGGATATTTTAGGCCCTTTATTCAGCCGATGATTATCCTTGTTAATTATAGCGTTTGAAGTATTTAACCTTCAAAGATTACATACAAGAGCATTTTCTTCCCGTAACTAGTAACTGCTTGATCTTGCCATGCGGGTCTCCAGAAATGTCTACGTGTAATAAGTTTTACGTCGTTTATAGATAACACACTCTACTGCTTTAAAAAAACCTGCATGATTATCCGATGGTAAATTTTGTGTCAGTTGAAGAGAAAGCCTGTATGATAAAAAGCTATTGAGGATCCAGATGCAAAATAAAAAAAACTGTTAATGGACTTGTTTAACCCTGTTATTTGTGTGTGCAATTCCAACAATTTCACTCATAAAACAACACAGATTTTGAATATGAAATTATGACAAAATTATATTCCTTCCAGTAGCTGTTAATTTCTGTCAAAGTTCATATTTCTCACACATCCCTTCCACAACTGATCTCTCCAGTCATCAACATGTTCTTCAAGGCTTTTATCTCTCAGCCCATGACCAAATAGCATTGTTTCCCTTATACAGAGTTGTGTATACTGTTCTTCTTTCGATACATTTATCCAGATAATTGTTTTTAGTTACCCTATTTATCCGAGGTATTTGCAACATTTGTCCCAGAAACAACATTTCTGCTGCCTCCAAGTTCTTCAGAATTTGTGCTCTCACATTTCAAGATGCACTGACATAGAGTAGAATAGTTCAGTTAAACACTTTAGAATTCTCCTGACATTTCACAGAAATGATATGTATTTTTTTAACTCTGAAATGGGGTTATCCCTTCTCCAGTACTGCTTCCTGAAGATCTGACACCCCACGACTGAAAGAGCCACTTTTTGAATGCCAATACAAGAGTTACAAATCCCAGAAATGCTGCTTAACCCGCTGTCTGATGTGGGTGAGGTCAAAATGCACGGAAGTGATTAAATGAAGCTTTTGCTTGGCCTATCTGCTTATATTGAGCGGCACAATTTTTGTTTATCATGGTCATCAATCAGCAGATTCTATACAGAAAGTTGCTGTCCTCACAACATGCCTCGAACCAGTCCTCCGGTCTTTTGTGCTTTCAAAACCAATGCATCTTCAATATCCTGTTTCCACCTTTATGCAAGCCGGCTTCTGCCTCAGTTTCCGGAAACTATACCCTTCATCCTTGTTTGTGTGTTTGTTTGTTTGGTTGGTTTGTTTGTGTCTGTGTGTGTTTGTTTGTGTGTTTGTTTGTGTGTGTCTCTCTCTCTCTCTCTCTCTCTCTCTCTCTCTCTCTCTCTCTCTCTCTCTCTCTCTCTCTCTCTCTCTCTCTCTCTCCTCTCCAGGCCACCATGATGTCTGACTTGGCCAAAATAGCTCAGCTTTCTGGACAGGATGCTGTTTATGAGCCAGCTCTCTACAAATCACGTAGGATGTCAATGCCAATTTCGATTCCAAAGCTTCTTTTTTTTTCTTCACTGATTGATTAACAGTCTGTGATTAACATCCATAAGTTGTAACTTCATCCCTCATCTTATATCAGTCAAGTCTGTTTTTGTAACTACCTTTGCACTGACATGTCAAAGGCTTTAACCATACAGAAAAAATCCAAGTCACATAGATGGGCCCCTATCTACTGCCAAGGTCATGCCAGTATATATGATGGATCTACTGACAAGTCATCTAGGTCTATGTGTGAATGACTGCCCTACTTTGCTGCTTCCAAAAGCACTTTTCATTTGTACACTGAGGATGGACAGAGGGGATATACTGTGGGTAATCAATGATAACATGAGGTCACAACTCTGGGTAAGCATGAGGACATAACTCATCGACGAATGTCCCTGAAAACCCTGTTGCAATGAAGAAGTGAGTATGGAATTGGTTGCAGTAGCTTGTAGCTAACCAGCTGGCAAGAAGCAACAGGCCTTGATACCTTCAACTTCTGCTGGGAGAGACAGACTACTTATAAGATTGTACCAAATGCAGTAATGTCAATTCTGCATCATAATCATATCTGTATGACAAAATTCCACAGATGTCACCTGCCCTTTCTTGAAGACAATTTATTACCCAGGCTTCAATTTGCAATCAGAAACACAAGCCAGCAGAAAGGTTAAATGTTCAAAATGAAACAGTTCTGCCTCATGTATAATCAGCTCTATATAAGTCAGGGTTGTGAAGGAACACCATCACTGTTGTCAGTCTGCAGTTGATAAATAAGCTCTGGTCCTTTAACTGGTGCACCGAACTGAACACAACTGAGATCGGCTTAACCTGGACTCTCTCTCTAATGCAGAAGTTACAAACTGCATCACTTGTTGAAAGTTTCCATCTAACCGTGTCACAATTGTATGTGATGAGCTACTTTAGCCTTTGTGTGACGTTGGCTAGAGCCACAGCAAATGCTTGCACGGCTGTGAACGGGTACTGAAAGTCCAGCGTGTAGGCGTTGTTGTCGATGCGGCCAAACTGCATCACCTGTCACAGAGAGGGTTAAATTGTTACATTGCACCATGGGTAACCACAATAGAGATGGTTAGATAATGTCATCTTCACCTTCTTCTTCTTAGCATTCACTGGTTGTAATCTCAGATAGAAAGTTCTGGTTGTTTGTCCACTTGTGGAGTTTGCACTTGTTACAGGACTTAAGTTTAACATGCACATCCATTTTACAGATTTATCTTTTTTGTTTGTTGTTGTATGCAGACTGTTGGTTCCTCACCTATCAGGCAGATGTATTCTGACCGAGAAGGGAATAGTCCTAATCAGTCGCTTCTACAACATGCTTGGTTGAGGAGGGAAGGGGGGGGGGGGTGTAGTCCATTCTCCCTTTCCCCCCCTAACAGGTCCTTGGTACCCATGCAAGGACCCTTTATTATTGCTCAATGGGTGATGTGGTCAAACATCCCGCTAGCCACATCTACTTTCCAGGACACTACCTATTTCAGTCTGGTTCGATCTGGGTGCCAAGGTCAGTTTTAAACAAAAAATCTGAACCAATGTGAATTAGAAACCCAAGACCTTCAGGCTTAGAGGCAAGTGTCTAACCACTACGCTACAATGGTTCTGAAACCACTGGATTGTTACATTATGATGCTTAACCACAACATCCATGCCTCACATTAGGGCTGGTATAATAAATCCACAACAAATATATAACATCCAAAAAGATGGTGTGACCAATCTATAATACACATTTCTTCTTCTGCGTTCGCCTTTAAAAGGTCAGTTGGCACACTGTATTGTGGTTTTCTGCAAGGCTGTGATATCTGTGTTTTTGGGAGAACATATCTGATTTCAGCAAAGTCTTAATTAGCAGCATTCACTCAAATGCAACCATCAAACCAACCAGTCAACCAACCATCACCTTCTATGCAACCATCAATCCAATAAACCAACCACGTCCATGCAACCATCAATTCAACAAACCATCCACTTCTATGCAACCTTCAATCCAACCAACCATCCACTTCTATCCAACCATCAATCCAACCAACCATCCACTTCTATGCAACTTCAATCCAACCAACCATCCACTTCTATCCAACCATCAATCCAACCAACCATACACTTCTATCCAACCATCAATCCAACCAACTATCCACTTCTCTGCAACCATCAATCCAACTAACCATCCACTTCTATCCAACCATCAATCCAACCAACCATCCATTTCTATGCAACCGTCAATCCAACCAACCATCCACTTCTATCCAACCATCAATCCAACCAACCATCCACTTCTATCCAACCATCAATCCAACCAACCATCCACTTCTATGCAACCATCAATCCAACCAACCATCCACTTCTATGCAACCATCAATCCAACCAACCATCCACTTCTATCCAACCATCAATCCAACCAACCATCCACTTCTATGCAACCATCAATCCAACCAACCATCCACTTCTATCCAACCATCAATCCAACCAACCATCCACTTCTATCCAACCATCAATCCAACCAACCATCCACTTCTATCCAACCATCAATCCAACCAACCATCCACTTCTATGCAACCATCAATCCAACCAACCATCCATTTCTATCCAACCATCAATCCAACCAACCATCCACTTCTATGCAACCATCAATCCAAACAAACATCCATTTCTATGCAACCATCAATCCAACCAACCATCCATTTCTATCCAACCATCAATCCAACCAACCAACCATTTCTATCCAACCATCAATCCAAACAAACATCCATTTCTATGCAACCATCAATCCAACCAACCATCCTTCTAATTAACTACCCAACCAACCAAGTAATGCAACATGATTCATCATTTCCCTATGATACCTGGAGGTTCACTGCAGCTGACATTACCCACCTCTTTGAGGCTTAGATATCTGTTTGGTTTGTTTGTGACAAAATGAGGTTTTACAAAGGTGGGACTGTCTGCCCTATGCTTTAACCCCTAACCTCTTTATCAGTTCAGTGCTCTCACACCTATTGGGGTTGGGAGGTCCTGCTGATAGTTATGATCCTGGTGAGATAACAGGTCAAATCCACAAGGCAGTCCTGCTATTTGACCATCTCCAGCAACTCCCTGACCAGACAAATATACACACACACTCTCTCTCTCTCTCTCTACCTACCTACCTACCTACCTAACTACCTATCTATCTATCTCTGCCACTATATTGCCACATGTACCTGTTTTCCTCGGAGCTCAATCTGGAAGTTCTTGGCAGACTCCTGTGTCACCCGTCCACCAAAGTCTAGCTGGTAAACCTGGCTGGTCTCATTCCACAGCGGAGCTTTGTTGTGCATGGTGAAAGTTTGAGTCTGCTCCATTCGTGAGCAGGGGTCATACAGTCGGTGCCTCGTCTAAACATAGTGAAAACAATCATATTTTAGTTTACAACTACTGTGTTTCCAAGGAAATAATACCTAGTCCAACCAAAAATAAACCCTAGGATGATTTTTCAGTATGCTTGTAAGATAAGCCCACCCCACATATCAACGGTGTTAATATTGTCAGACACTTGTATTGGTTCCTAGAGAGTTCTGGTGTTCTATGCCATGAACAGGCAGGCTTTAGAACCAACAGCTGTACAGAAGACCAGCAGCTCAGGCTGGGTGATGAATAGATGCTGATGATCTAGCAATTTGGCAGAGTCAGGAAAATGTAGAAAGAGGAGCCCACAGACTAAATGGAGACCTTAGAAGAATGAGTACTGCTAAAGATGTAAACTCAGGGTTAACAAAGACGGTCTACACAATCCTTACCAAAAGCCATCAAGCAGCAAGGAAGAATATTAACTTGAGGTTAGACACCAAAGGATGAAAGAAAAGCATCCTACATACCTAGGAGTCACATTTGACTGACAGCTCAACCTCAAGAACTATATTGAAAACATAAGGAATAAGGCATTGTTGAGGCGGTTACAGTTAATGAAGAGACTTGCAGGTACAGCCTGGGGATCTGAAAAGGAAACTCTGAGGGGCTTGTATCTTAGATATGTTCGCTCTGTGATAGGAGTACAACAACTCACTGCTCATAACCTGTTCCAAAACTAAACTAGAGACTCTTCACAGAGTACAAAATATTGCCCTCTGATCAATCAGCGAAGCTATGTAGTCTACTCCAACTGCTGCATGTGAAATCCATACAAATGTAGAACTCCTCAGGTTGAGGAGAGAAAAAGCTACTTTAGAAATTTAGGAAAGTTGCGTTAAAATGAATCGTAACCATCCTAATAGACACCTTGTAGAAAACTGGGAATACAAACAAAGAATAAAGCACAAATTGGTTTTACACTGTGGTGGATAAAATACAGGACAAATACCAACTCCCAGAAAGATATCAAGGCATTCAGAATGTTGCAAGAAATCCACCATTACGTTCTCGCTTTAAAGCTCCAGAAGTTTGAATGAAACTGGTAGATGAAAAAACCAAACAGTCCGACCCAATCGATGAACTCATCGCTAAAGACCATTATTCTTACCCCGAAGAATGGATACATGTTTATCCTGATGGATCTGCATTTAAAACTGCCATTAAAGCAGGTTATGGAATTTACAAAGATTATCCTGATGGATCTGTTGAAGAATCTTTTGATGCATTAGGGGAATTCTGCTCAAATTATGAAGCTGAAATAATTGCACTGAAAACAGCAGTATACCACCTAAAGACTGTAATGGATGTTTACCCTTCAAAGGCCCAAAATATTGTCTCCAAGGAGGTCTATAGATACATGGCTAGCCCTGATCCAACGACAGCATTAACCATCTAACAAGAAGGAACTTCAGACTCAGAACACAAAATACTCTGCTCACTGGATCTCTAAATTGAATACAGCCACAACACTCCCCAGAGTGCCAGCTATGTAACTACCCCTATGAAACTGTTGACCATCATCTCTTTGAGTTCCCAAAACTCAACGAGACTAGAAGAAAGCTACTCCCTCCGAGACTAGACAAGTGGAACACCTTGTATGGAGGAAAAGAACAGCTTGTGAAAACATGCAAATTCCACTACATGGTATTGGGCCAGAGGGGGAAAGCTGGATCAATAACAACAGTATTGTCAACCAGGTGGACATATTTTGTTTATCCGTTGCAATACATGACGGACATTTTGAATTAAAAAGTAATGAATTTGTAATCAATAATATTACTGATATTAATACTTTCAAAGCAATGATTCCCCGCTGTGAATTTGAACAAAGAAAACACAAACAATAGACTGCACAATTTACTGCCTGGAATATTTTGCTGTATCTCATCAGGTGCATACAAGAGTAACAACTGATTAAAATAAAGCAAAAAAATAAATCCTTTTAACTCAAAAAAAAATTTGACTACATTCAAAAGTAAGTGCATGTTTTATCAGGGCAAATGTAAGTTGATGACCATGTCATTTTGTCTGCATAATTCTGGACTGAATGGCTTTATAGTTGTTGTTTCCAAGAATTGCAACAGTCTGTGGTTGGCTCCAAATTTCGTATACCTCAGCCAGCTGTTGCAATTCACGAAAGCAACAGTTGCTATAAAACAGCTCCATCCAGAAATATGTAGACAAAAAGACATGGTCATCAGCTTGCATCTGCCCTGGTATTCTAAGCTCCATTGTTTATGGCTTTATCCCTAAGGGTTCTAGTTTGAAAGGGTATTGATACATCTTTCACAGCCATGTATAAAGGTACTACTAGCAGCTTGTGCTCAAGTAACAACAATAACAGTAACAGAACACTAGTAACACCACCATTAGGACAATAAAACAGTTACAGAAACATCTGTAACACCACCAATGGGACAATACAACACCAACAACAGTAACAGACACAGCTGTAACACCACCAACAGAATAACACAACACCAACAACAGTAACAGACACACCAGTAACACCATCAACAGAATAATACAAGAACAGTAACAGACACACATGTAACACCACCAGCAGAACAATACAACACCAACAACAGTAACATACACACCAGTAACACCATCAACAGAACAATCCAACACTAACAACAGTAACTGACACACCAGTAACACCACCAACAGAACAACACAACACCAGCAACAGTAATAGACACACCATCAACAGAACAATCCAACACTAACAACAGTAACTGACACACCAGTAACACCATCAACAGAACAATCCAACACTAACAACAGTAACTGACACACCAGTAACACCACCAACAGAACAACACAACAGTAATAGACACACCATCAACAGAACAATCCAACAGTAACTGACACACCAGTAACACCACCAACAGAACAACACAACACCAGCAACAGTAATAGACACACCATCAACAGAACAATCCATCACTAACAACAGTAACTGACACACCAGTAACACCACCAACAGGACAACACAACACCAGCAACAGTAACAGACACACCATCAACAGAACAATCCAACACTAACAACAGTAACTGACACACCAGTAACACCACCAACAGGACAACACAACACCAGCAACAGTAACAGACACACCATCAACAGAACAATCCAACACTAACAACAGTAACTGACACACCAGTAACACCACCAACAGAACAACACAACACCAGCAACAGTAACAGACACACCATCAACAGAACAATCCAACACTAACAACAGTAACTGACACACCAGTAACACCACCAACAGGACAACACAACACCAGCAACAGTAACTGACACACCAGTAACACCACCAACAGGACAACACAACACCAGCAACAGTAACAGACACATGATGACAACACCTTCTGCTTGAGCTGAGATTTCTGGAACACTTCCAAAGATTCATACTTGTTCAACCCATGATCATCTACTCCAAAAAAGTCAGGAGGAGGCGGGAAAGAATCACGACCCTTGCGTCCTAGCAAGGGACTTAAATGTTTGCATCTGCCTTTGAGTATCTCCTCATGAAGAGTGTGGGTGTTTGGGGCATGCTTGGCTCCAAAACGTATGGGGGAAGATGGCAAAGAGGCACTAGTCTGCTGGATTTCATTGTCATGGAGGTGGTTGCTCAGCAAGGTGTCGTTGCGTGCAAGGTGCACAGTTGTTGGCTGCTCATCAGAATTCTCAGAAATGTCTCTTTCTGACGATGAAGACTCTGCCTCCTCTTCATCATCTCTAAGGTCTGGATTTTTCATGACAAAGCCAGGCATGGACCTGAAGTTGTGAACTGAGTTCTGTACAGAAGGGTCCTCTGAGAGGATAAGATTCAGTTTGTCAAAAGATGAAAGATCCTTTGGCAGTCGTGAAGATGGGGGATGTGAATGATCTGCAGAAGTAAACGTCTGCCGAAGGAATGGGTGAGTTTCTATTGCTTCTGTCTGCCGTACAAAGTGGAAAGACACATCTCGGTCGGATGGTGGAGTTCGCTTCTGATGGTCAGACTTTTGACACTGATGATGGGACGAGTGTTTGGGGTCTGATGCGTTTAGTCCAGCATCTGACTGTGGCAAGGCTTGAATAGAAGGAAATGAATCTCCTGTGACAGAGTGCAGACAGGAATCACCCCCAGAGGATCTTGTGGTCTGCTGAGAGAGACAGTTGCTGCAGACCGCCATCAGGCCATGAGGTGGGTCATGATGCAAGACTTGCCTCTGTGCTAATACTGATGATGCTTCTTGATGAGGTTCTGAAGATGTCTCACACTCCGCAGAACTGCCAACATGAGACAGCCTCATATCATGCGCCGCCCTGGACACAGGGGATGCACTTTCTCGGAAGCCGCTAGAATTTGCAGCTGTGTTGCTGTGAGCAATCTGATTAGTAAAGTGTGGCAATGAGCTCACACAAAAAGGATTAGAAGCCATTTCTAGACCTGAAGCAGTCTGGATCGGCAGGCATGACGGGCAGTTACTTGGTGAGATGGGTGTCCCTGTATCCACAAAATGCTGCTGTGCCAGGTATAACCTAAAACAAACATGTTAAGGAATATTTCTAAATAATTACCAATGCCAGCAATAGGCGGAGTCAAAGATAAAATTTCTTAAATTCTTTATTTAGATAATTAGCAGAAGAGGCTCTTAACTCAGAGCAGCAGCTCTGAAAGTCTGGTAACGGATTGCACTTGTCGTTACCAGAATTCACAGTAATGGTTCTGGGGGGCTTATTTTGGCGAGGGGGTGGGATTCACTGCCTCTTAACACGCAAGCCACAAAAGGTGACTAATTAAGCAGATGTATTGGGTTAAAAGGGGCAGATTTCACAGCCTAGCTGTAAACCACAAGAAAATGTGCTAAAGCCTTCCTTGAAGAGTGAAAGCAGAAGAACAAAAATCTCACAGAAAACTGTAGCTATAAAATGCAACCAATGATAAACAAGACTACTTCCTGTGTAGGTTTGTGGATCCATTATGGGGGGGGGGGAATTAACAGACCCACTGCTACACCCATCCTTCCTCTTCCCGCAGCATTAGAGGCCAGATTGTTTGCCTATCAGCATTTCTTTACATCCTCTTTATTTTGATGTCGACACATAAGCATTCACAAGTGATCTCCATTGCTACCAGTCTGCTACTTTCTGCCTGTGGTATTTTACATTCCTTCATTTCCCTTACTGTCCTCCAGCTTCCCTTAGATCAGCAGTTTTCAACCTGCCGGTCACGACCTTTTTTTGTCTAAGACCATCGTAAAACGCATATTTATTGAAGTTATGAAGGAAAATAATTGTCTGGAGTTCGCCACAACATGAGGGAATTGTATTAAAGGGTCACAGCATTAGGAAAGTTAAGATCCACTGCCTTAGATTGTTCATATCTCCATTCTCCTTCTTCAGAAGAGCTTTTCTAGCAGAAGTGTCATGAGACAATCTACAAACATGTTTAAGCCATCTCCCTCTTTTGCCTTTAACAAAACTTGCCACTAATGAACAGTTTGTTCTCCTGCTTGCCAGCCAGAAAATCATGTGTTCAACTCCCGACCAAGGCTGCGAATGTTTTTCCCAGATCAAACCAGTCTCAAGATTTGGTGCCAGAAAATTTTCTGGGAAGGAAAGGCAGCCAGCATAATAATGACTATATGGGCATCTACTGCCAAGCAAGTAAATGGCTTTTTTATGCTAGACTGATATTTTTATAGACCAATCGGTACTCCACAGGTGAGGTGGTCAACATGGTATAGCTGTCATATTAACCCATTCTGGCCAAGCTGTCACATTAACCCACTCTGGCCTAGTTGTCACATTAATCCACTATGGTCTAGGTGTTACATTAACCCATTCTGGTCTAGCTGTCACATTAAACCACTCTGGTCTAGCTGTCACATTAACCCACTCTGGTCTAGTTTTCTGTCACACTTACCAACTCTGGTCTAGTTGTCGCAATAATCCACTCTGATCCTGTTATCACATTAACCCCCAGTCTAGTTGTCATATGACTCATCTAGCTGTCACATGATTTACTTTGGTGCATGCATATATATGTGTATGTATGTGTGTGTGTGTAATTATAATATTTATATATTCTTCTTCTTCTTCTTCTGCGTTCGACATCAGTCATGCTAAACATTGAGTCCCGTCTGGGTCACAAAAAGGATTGTGCGTTTAAGGTCGACCACCGGTCTCCCATAGATTCTCTTGCAATGTGGCTCCCTTGGGCCAAATCCACAGTCTTTGCTGGGAGAGGTTAGGGCAGTACTGTAGTATGTGCTCAGGGGTCTGTCTTTCTGCTCCACAATCACAGGCAGCAGATTCTTTTATGCCTATCCTGTACAAGTGTGCTCGAAGACCACAGTGTCCAGTCTGAAGTCTAAAAATTGATGTTTGTTCTTTCCTGTTGAGTTTGTTTATGCTGTCACTCTCTGGTCTGTAATCTCCATTCTGCCTTCTCCACTCCTGCTTGAAAGACTGCTTTAGCACTGTTTTGGTTTCCTTGTAGCTGTGTGATGGATGAGGTTGTGGAAGATTACTCCCAGCTTTTGCCAACTCCTCTGTTCTCTCATTTCCTTGAATACCACAGTGGGCTGGTATCCACTGCGAGACCATTTCTGCTTCCTTGGAGAGTAAGTCAATATTGGTCCTTAGATCTGCAATTAGTTTGTCTTGTTTTTTGCTGGATAGTGCTTGGAGAACAGACAATGAGTCACTAAGTATAACAATTTGGTGCCCTCTGTGTTCTTGAGTGATCAGATGTTGAACTGCAGAGAGGAGAGCAGTTGCCTCAGCTCTGAAGTTAGTGCAGATGTCACCTGCTGGTAGAGAGAGAGTTTCTGCTCTACTGCTAGGGGGTTTAATGTATATTCCACAACCCCCCCCCCCCCCCCCTCTTTCTGACTGCATCTGTAGCAGAGCCGTCGGTGAAAACCTGAGTCCAAGTGGTGTTTGGATACTTCTCATCAAGCATAGCAAGCGCCAGGGTTCTCTGTTGTGTCTCCGTCTGGGCATCTTTTGAAGTGATTCCTGGTACCTTTAGGACTACATTTGCTTTCTCTGGCTTGCTTGTCCATGGTTCTGGCCTAAGTTTTTCGCACAGTGCAACATCTCTTTCAAGCAGATATTGGTGCTGTCTGTACAGTTCTCTAGCAAGGTGGTTGGGGCTCTGATGCTTCAGTCTGTTTTTTTGTTCTCTCTTGAAATTTAAAATGTAGTGGGTGACTTTGAAGTCTTTTTAATTTCTCATACTGTAAAAGAGTTTTGTATTGTCTTCTGAGTTTGAGTGGTTCAGTATCTGTTATCCTTTCTATCTCTCTGATGGGGGTGATTTTCATGGCTCCGAGAACAATCCTTAATCCCATATTCTAAACCTTGTCCAGTTTTCCCATTGTTGTCTTGGCTGCTGCAGTGGAGGCATATTCCATGACTGGCCTGACTGCTCCAGTATATACTTGTTTTAGGATTCTAGAGTTAGTGCCCCATATGGTACCCGCTAATTGTTTCATCACTGCAAGCTTCTTGAATGCTTTTCCCTGTACTGCTTCTACATGTGACTTCCAAGTTAGTCGTGAATCAAGTGTAACACCCAGAAAGGTAGGAGTGTCTGTCTGTGGAATGAGCTGGTTTTTTATCCAAATTTCGATGTTTTCTTTTTTGGGGGAGAGAGAGAAAAGTGATGCTGTGCTTTTTGAATTATTTAGCTTTAGATCCCACTTTTCAGTCCAGGCTTCTACATTTTCCACAGTTTTCTGTAACAGATATGAGGCTGTGGTAGTGTATTCGGAGGCTGTCCAAACTGCAAAGTCATCGGCATGTAGGGTATTAGAAACGTGCTGGTGGTAGGTTGCTGTGATATCATTTATGTAAACCAGGAACAGAGTTGGTGCTATCGCACTGCCCTGGGTAACTCCTTCTCTTAGTTTTGCCAGTTTGCCGATGTTTCCATCAATTCTGAATCTGGCTCTGCGTTGGAAAAGAAAGTCTTTGATCCACTTGTACATGTTGTGCACAACTCCTGCCTGTAGCAGTTTTAGTTGTAGGCCTTCTTTCCAAACTGTATCAAAAACACGAGAGAGGTCAAAGAAGACAGCAAGAACTTTCTTTTTTTCCTGGAAGGCATTCTCTATTTCCTGTGCCAGATATGTCAACTGGTCCTCTGTATTTCTGTGCTGTCTGTATCCTGTCTGCGTGGTGATGATTACCGAGTTTGTCTCCAAGAACCATACTGTCTTTTATTTACTAATTTCTCCATCAATTTTCCTACACAAATAAGGAGGCTGATGGGTCTGTAGCTTTTTGGGTCTTTTCTGTCTCCACCCTTTTGAAGGATAGGCTGGATGAGAGCTTCCTTTCAGGCTGACGGAACCACACCTTTTTGCCAGCTCTGGTTGTAAATGCAGAGGAGAAACTTCTTGGCAGCAGGTCCAAGATGAGAGAGAAATTCGTTTGTAATGCCGTCAGCCCCTGGGGATTTCTTCATTTTCAACTCTCCAATTCCAACTTCCAGCTCTTGCATAGTAAACTTTTCTGACATGCAGGCCTCGGTTGTTTTTGTGCTAGAGTCTGCTAGAAGAGTCTTGGTCTGGTTTCGTACTTCTTTTATTCTTTGCATGGGAATATGAACCTCAGTTTCTTTCTGGTGTGTTTCAGCTAGCACATCTGCTGCTACCTTGCCAGTAACAGATCCATCATCTGTTTGGAGTACAACTCTAGCTTTTTCTGTCTTGTCTCCATTCAAGCTTTTTGTGAGATTCCACAGATGTGAAGTGTCCTTCTCGAGGTTAAATGACGCTGTCTTTTTGTGCCAGCTTTCCCTCATCTGATTATTTCTCTCTTTGATGAAGGCTGATTTTGCTCTGTTATGAAGTTTTACATTTTTATCTGTCGGATCCTTCTCCATATTTTCCCTCCTGGTACTAAGTTTGGAATGCAGAGTGTCCAGTTCAGGCGACCAGTAAGGTTTAAAGTTTTTCCTGCTGCCTCGTGGTATGTTACCCTTGGCTGCATTTAGAATAGTTGTGTTGAGGATCTTCAGTTTGGCATTTATTTCCAGTCTTCTGAAGAAGACTCTCTTCAACATGTCATCCAAATAGGAAGTGAAAAGGCTCCAGTTAGCCTTCTTGTAGTTCCAGCTGGGAGGGTTCTTTTCCTTAGTAACTTCTCTACTTTTGTTAATAGAAAGGATTACGGGCCTGTGATCACTGCCTCCCAGCTGTTGACACACATCCCGGCTGGTAACTTTCTCCACATCTTCAGTTGCTATAGCCAAGTCTGGGGTGCTGGTTTTCCTCCAAGCTCGAGAGTAGAATGTGTCTGGGTTGTCACGATGATTTATCAGAACTAGAGTGTTGCTGATTATCCAGTTTTCTACCTCTTCTCCTTTCGCATTGAGGTCTGTGTAGCCCCAGCTAGGTGAGTGGCTATTTAGATCTCCGACAGCAATCCAGTTTTCTGTGTTTAGTAGGATGGGTCCCAGATTAATATCTCTGTTTGGTGGTGAGTAGATGTTGCATACTGTCACATCTCCCCTTGCACCCTTGATAGTGACTGTGATAAACTCTGTATCCCCACACTGAGATCTCTGGGTTTCCCAAGCTGTGATCGTGTTCTTGACAGCAGTCAAGACTCCTCCTTTTGGACGATCTAACCTGTCGTGTCGGAAGATTTGGTCTCCCCTGATAGAGAATCTATGTGCACTTGTGAGGTGAGTCTCTTGGATGCAGCATATGTCAATATCATGCTGCTTCAAGAAATGTTGTAGTTCAGTTTTCTTCAGCCTCACTCCCTCAGCATTCCAGTGCATAATTGTCAGTTTGTGTCCAGTTGCATTACTCTGTTCTTCCCTGGTCACTCCAGAAGATTCAGAGATTGTGGGTCTAGTAGCTTGGGGTGGGCCCCTTCGAGGCAGGGGGCCCGGCGCCATCCCTAATTTATATATATTATATATAATTTATATATATCTATATGCACACACACACACACACACACATTATAATTACCCACCATGATCTAGTTGTTACATTAACCCTCTAGTGTAGTTGTCACAAACCCATAATTTCTTACGTGTGAGAATCAAATGAGTTAAAGGAAAATTGCTGCCTTGAACACAAAGTCAATAAAATATGCATGCGGATGCTATGAAAGGACAATGTGTGAGACAGACAGTGAGTACCTTCTATGCAAATCCAAGGAGTTGGGTGCAGTAGGACTACAGTCCGCCACCAGGTTGTTCTCCACGGACGTAGAGGAAAAATCTGTAACCCCATCTTCTATAAGCTTAGTGACTGGAGATGCGGGATCTGCCCATCTCGGTCCCTCACCCTTGACAGTATCCACCACTAATGGAATGGTCCCACTGCCTACACTGGTGGCACAGCTGCCCGTACACAGCTGCGATAATGCTGTATGGTCTTTAAACAAAGTGGAAGCAATAGGATCCTCACTCTTCCACGCACCCTCAACACTTATAGTTCCTTTTGTTCCCTTCTCCAAGCCACTGCCAGCATCCACCCACTTAAATGCTGTGTCTTGTTTCTTACTGCCTACCGTCACGGGAGGACTGGACGGGATGGATATGATCCGGTTTGTGGTGACGGCATGGGTCACGACCCCGACGGTATTTGCATACTGGAAGTTGGAATGACTGTTACAATGATTGGTTCTGGGTAATGCTGCGTTCTTGTTACTGCTTGTCCTGTGCAGCCTTGGGCTGCTGTTCGGAATTATGTTTCTGCTGCTTTCGCTGATGACCCCAGATGTGGTATGTTGTTTGCCTGGTTCAGCCTTGGGTCGAGCCCCTTGTCCAACTCTAGTACTGACAGCATGCTGGCGTGTGTCACTGCCGATACTGTCTTGTTTCAGGGCTGAGGCAGGTTGGGTGAGAGAGTTGCAGACAGGAGACATTGAGCGGGAGCGGACAGTTCCTGTGGATCCGTGCTTGCCACTCAGGTAGCCAGGCTCTTCATTTGTGGTCTCACACAGCTCTGTGAGAGGGGACTCCATACTGGCTGACCTGGTACAGGGAAGTGAATACAAAACAGAGATCAACCAAATCTGGCAAGTATACTTGAGAGTTTTATCTGCAGATACAAATGACAGTGTGGAAGGGATATGAGGCATTCTGTCAGATAATGATTCATGAGTAAATCATAAAAAGAGTCAATAAATCATGACTAGAGTTAATAAATCATTACAAAAGTTCATAAATCATGACAAGAGTTAAATCATGACTAGAGACAGTGAGATAAGAACATGGGGTATGAGATGATAAGACATGAAATATGAGATAACAGATGAGAAATTGAGATGATGAGACAAAAATATGAGAGAAAATGGTGATATACAATAAATGCTGAGGCTTGTTGATAATAAGGAGGTATGAGCTACTGAGACATGATGTAATGTAAGGAGGTATGAGCTACTGAGACATGATGTAATGTAAGGAGGTATGAGCTACTGAGACATGATGTAATGTAAGGAGGTATGAGCTACTGAGACATGATGTAATGTAAGGAGGTATGAGCTACTGAGACATGATGTAATGTAAGGAGGTATGAGCTACTGAGACATGATGTAATGTAAGGAGGTATGAGCTACTGAGACATGATGTAATGTAAGGAGGTATGAGCTACTGAGACATGATGTAATGTAAGGAGGTATGAGCTACTGAGGCATGATGTAATGTAAGGAGGTATGAGCTACTGAGGCATGATGTAATGTAAGGAGGTATGAGCTACTGAGGCATGATGTAATGTAGGGAGGTATGAGCTACTGAGGCATGATGTAATGTAAGGAGGTATGAGCTACTGAGGCATGATGTAATGTAAGGAGGTATGAGCTACTGAGGCATGATGTAATGTAAGGAGGTATGAGCTACTGAGGCATGATGTAATGTAAGGAGGTATGAGCTACTGAGGCATGATGTAATGTAAGGAGGTATGAGCTACTGAGGCATGATGTAATGACACTGAGACTGGAAATCATGAGGCAAGTGAGCCAAGCATAATTTTTAAAAAAAATCAGCCTCAAAGAGGATCTGAACCTGAAACCTATGGGTCAGCAGGCAAGTGCCTAGCCACTATGCTACCATGGCTGCCTAATCCTGGTGTACAATAGTCAATCTTGGACAGTCTGTAGATTCGTGAGACAGACAGGGACAGTCACCATTTGTTTGGGTCATGTTAAGAAATTAGGCTAGTTGGAACATGTTGTGACCACTGGAAATATCTGTGGAAGAAGAGACAGAGGAAGACAGAGACAGAGAAGATTCTTGTCAGCCATCTGTCATGGCATGTTGGGATCTCAGCACACAAACTGATACATGCTGTTGAAGGTTGCAGATTGTAGAGAGGCGTGATTGGCCATGCCAGTTGGCAAGGCACTTGATGATGTGGAAACAGCAGAGTTGTGGTTTTATATACTCGTAGAAGAAAGATAAGAAATCAATGGACTCACATTCCTTGGTCATGGAAACAACTAGGAGTCGATCGTGACAACAGGAAAGTTTGAGGACAGACAGAGGATGCCAAAGAGTTTGGCATCATGGCAAGGATACATCTGTATCAGAAATGATAGACAAGTCAAGTCTCAAAACAAGTTGGGAACTGCTGTTTTACAGGATCTTGCAGAACCAACCCCAGCATTTGTTGGCTGTTTGCTGTTTTACTAAGCACTTTTACACTTAGGAAAGTGCCGGTGCCTTCTGAATGGCTGACACTCGATACCATTGACAAAATCAGTGCAAAGTGGTCTGATGCAAAATCACTGCAGCTGAATCAAATCAGGTATCCCAGAATTAAAATGGCATTCCTTAACCACAGACGACAAAATATGTCAAAGACTTCTTCTTCTTTATTTACCCTTATTTCTGTTTTTAGACCTAACATCTGATTTCAGCAAAATCTAATCAGTCACCTTTTACAACATGCTTGTGAGGGGATAGTGGGTCTATTCTTTTTTTCCCCCAAAATGAGACATGAAACACAAGGGGAGGCACTGACTTCAAAATTACAAAGATGATTAAGCAATTATACCCCCCAAAAAAATATAAAGAAATTTGAAAAAATGTGCAGGAGCAGTTGTGAGATTGTTACCTGCGGCCAGCATCTGCTGCAGAACCTTCAACCCTGTAACTGGGATCATCAGCTGGAAGAGATGGGGCATCATGAACTGTGACCTCAACTGTCTTTTTCTCACCTGTCAGATCCCCTTCACTGGTCCCTGAAAATAGAGCAGATGATGGACACAATCATCTCATCAACTCTTATTGGGACTGATTAGCCTCATCAAACAGATAAGGTCCCTGTGTTGGTTCCAGGGCCCATTGTAGAGAAAAACACAACAGACCCACTGCCCCCCCCCCTCCCCCACCAATGCTTACCCCAACATAAAATTTGACAAATTAGGGGTGTTCCTTCACAGTGCATCTGCCTTATCCGTTAAATGAACGTGCACAAAAAACTGAAGTTTGGAAAAGTTCAGAAGTGAAGGGACAACCAGAACTTTCTGCCAGAGTTTACAGTGGGGTGAATGTGAAGAAGAAGAAGAAATCAGAAAAGCTACAAGGTGTTAGACTAACAGTACACTGGTCTGCCAACTGAGATGGAATTCCCTTTCAACCCTGTCACCACCAAGAGAGTCATTTTTCCAGCCTTGATGGGTTTCTGGTGACATGATGTCCATGGACAGTGGTCAATATGGCTAAATAACAGCTTTGATACTGGCTGCAGCTGCACAGTGTGTAGACATGATGGGAGGGATCCTATTCAGAAAGACATACTACTTAGGAGACAAATGACTTTTTTTTTTAAATTACTGTGATGTCATCATGACATCATAACATAATGATGTCACTTTGCTCCACATGGTTATGCAAGGAGGAAACAAAATGGTAAGAGAGAAGGAATTCTTTGCTCTGCCTGTATTTAGTCCTTACTTCCCTCAGTGTTTAAAAAACAACCTTGAAAAACCTCAAATCTATTGTTATAGTGACTTGATGGCTAGGTTGATGCAATGGCTATCAGGCCTGCTTCTACTTGGTGGTCAAAAATTAAACACTCTGGACTTTCATGCAAACTGATCAAGACATCAAATTTTCTTTTGCTTTTTCTTCTTTTTCTCTAGTTTATTAGAGAAAAGTTTCACAAAATTATAAGAAGGAGATTTATTTTTTTTAAAAAAAATCTGAAGACAAAAGTAATTTTAAAAAAAAATATTTTTAAAGGTCGAAAGGGTTAGAATGTTGTTTGACCTAGCATGCTGATGACAGACAAAAACTACTAAACACCCTTGTGTTAGCAGATCCCTTGGTCACTTCAGCCTTCAGATCATAATAATCTATTTTTACTTCTGCATTACTCAGTTACCTCCAAAGGGTCTTGACCACATCTAGCTTGACATATATCACCATCCAGTGGTTTAGAGCCAGCCAGTCCATCTGTCTGTTCATTTCTCAATACATATGCACATCCCAAAGAAAATGTCCAAAGGACGCTAACAAGGGAACAAAGGGATTGGAGTGACCTGGCTGAGAGCCTATACTCCTCAGGGAGGTGGAAGAAGGCAGAAAAAAGACAAAACCAGATGCTGAAAAAACTTATCGCCATCATCACAAGTATGAAGTGCCTGCATAAAGTCAGGATTATGAACAACACCTGCTGATTTGGCTCCAAATGAGCATGAGCTGGTTCAGAGTCTATGCCCCATAAGGAAATAGAAGATGGCAAAAGAAAAGACCAGCTACTTACAAAACTCGTCGCCATCATCGCTAGTATGAGGAGCTGGCGTAAAGTTTGGATCCCTGGACAACACTGGCCTCGCTGGCTGTATCTCCACAATGGTGATGGTCATCTGCCTGGGCTGCAGGTGGAGCAGGGAAGTTTTGTAGACCACCTGACCCAGACACGCAGGTAAGGTGGAGGCCACTCCTGTAATCTGGAACTTGGTACCCCAGATGTTTGATGTCACCTCCACTAGTCTGTTTGTCTGGCATGAGGCAGATACAAACACAAGATGTCACAAACATAAGATGACATCTTTTTATTGTTCAACTTCTGTACATTACTGAAGCCCTACATCTCTTGTACAGTTAATCTTAGTTGAGTTGAGTTGATTGAGTTGATTCAAGAACCAACATCATAGCACTCCGGGCATTCCCATAAGGGCTCCATCTCCATCTTCAGCAGCCAGCGCAGAGTTCCAATACCAATGGTGCCAGTAGTATCCTGATTAAACATCTGTCTTGCCTTTGGTCTGAGCATCGAGCATCAGCCACAACCCTTCGTCACTCCCGCTGCATCAATCTCACCACTCTGTGTTGATCCATTGGCTCCTCTGAATTGTACACACTTTCCCACACGGCCCTAATCACGCCTGTCTTATCATGCATGAATATTCCACCAAGTTGTGTGGAGCCAGCCAGTCTGTCTGCCTGTTTATTTCCCAACAGACTGGTGTGTCCCAGAGAAAAGATCTAAACAATACTCCTAACCCATGACCTCCGCAGTGAAGCATGCCACTCTGCACGAAGCAAGCCTGTCCTGACCTTCCTCAGCATGCTTTCTGAGTGAGTTACAATCACCATTTGTGTGTGTGTGTGTGTGTGTCGAGTTCTCTAACCAGCGGAAAGCTGCAGTGACCGCCTCCACCTCCATTCTTAACCTGGAAGTGGTTGTATCAAATATAGGTTTTCCTGCACCAAACGTCGACCATTAACTTTTTTCTAAGAAACTCATAGCACTTCTTTCGCCTCTTGACACTGAACCATCTGTATAAAAAAAATGTATCCTCTGAACAATCATTATCTTGGATTAATACTGAATTTCCACCTCCATAGCACCTGCTGGCCAGTCTCTGCACTCCCGGCTAAAAGTGATTATGACTCTACATAAATCTGACTGTTCAGCTGGCACCTTGACCTACTCCTCTCCAAATGTTCTCCAGGATGCAAACCTGTCTGACTATGTCTTCCGCCTGAGCCATCCATATGACTTCCCTCTCCCTCTTATCTTATCCTATTATCTCATATTGTTTCTGCACTTCCAGCTTAATGTGATTATGACTCTACACAAATTGACTGTTCAGCTAGGCACCTTGACCCATTCCTCTCCTTGCCAAATGTTCTCCAGGAGGCAAACCTGTTTGACTGTGTCTTCTGCCTGAGCCATCCATGACCTCCCTCTCCCTCTTATCTTATCCTATTATCTCATATTGTTTCTGCACTTCCGGCTCAATGTGATTATGACTCTACACAAATTGACTGTTCAGCTGGCACTTTGACCCACTCCTCTCCTCACCCAATGTTCTCCAGGAAGAAAACCTGTCTGACTGCGTCTTCTGGGTGGATGACAGCCCCAATTTCTGTACACCATTCAGTCACTTTGTCTACTGTCACTTGTAGCTTTTGGGCTGTTTGTTCCCTCTCTCCCCCTGCCTATATGCAAGTATATCATCTGCAAAAGTCAGTATCTTCCAAATCCTGGAACATGACTTTAGACTTTTAGACTTGCAATCTTGCTCATATACACGTTAAAAAACACAGGTGAGATGGCAGATTCCTGTGGCAGTCCTGGGGCTTTACTGCATGGTTCTGAGGTCCATGAGCCCAGACGGAGAGCAATCTGACGTGAATAAAGGACAGCTGCAACCAAATTCACCAGCCAGAGACTGACCTCCTTCTCCTTCAGTGCGGTCATCAAAATGTCATATCTGTTATAAGCATCCTTAAGATCTAGTGCTGCCGCCATAGTTTCCTGTCTGTCTTAGAACCCTTCATAGACGTCAAAAGCAAAAGAGTTTATCTTAAACAATAACAAAAATCATATATACATTAAATATATGTCCCCCCCCCCCCCACCCTAAAATATATATATATATCAACGCTTCCCCGATCTTGCATCACCTGGCTATTTCAACAGAAATAAAAATACAAATTAAAAATGTAACCTTCATTCTAACTTTAGTTTACCAGTGTCAGAACTAACATTTATCTAAGAACACTAGAGAAAACAACCATCTGTGAAATGAGATTTTTGAGAAAAGTTGCAAACAAAACTAGTCTAGATCATGTGAGAAATGAAGGGATTAGAAGAACTACTGGAACAATACCCAGCATTCCCCATGTAAGTTCCGGGGCCCTATTATAGGGAAAGCAAGAATAGACCCACTTCTTTCTTCTTCTTCTTCTTCTTTGTGTACCTCATCGAAGTGTCGGGGGGAGATGTAATGTTTGTTGATGAGCTCTGTCAAGAGCACTATTAAGACTGATGTTCATTTCTGTAAGGCTGTTCTTAATGCCATCACTTCATCTTTTCCGAGGTCTTCCACTCGCTCTATACCCGTTGTAACGTTTTAGTGTGGCTCGCTGTGGTGGATGGTACCAGGGCATTCTTGTTAGGTGTCCAAACCACTTCATTTGTTGTTCTTTGATGACCTGTAAGACTGGCTTTATTCCTAGCATTCGTCTGATTTCACGATTTCGTATTCTGTCTTTCCTTGAAACTCCTGCAGCTCTTCTAAGGCATTTCATCTCTGTTGTCACAATTTTTTTCATTGGAGGATGTAGGTGTCCCAACGTTCATTGATAGCATAGTGTTGGCCAAAAAATAGTTCTGATAAGATTCACTTATCTGGACTCCCATTACTGAGGTATCTGCTTGTTCTCAGGGTGCTGTTTTTTAATTTAATTTCTAAATTGTCTTTATGTCTTCCTATAATCATTGTCTCTGTCTTCGTATTTTTTATTTTCATATTATATTCCTCCCCTTTGTTACTAATTTGATTTAGGTGGTTCTGTAGGCATTCCGTATTTTCTGCTATGAGAACCTGGTCGTCGGCGAAAAGTAATTCTGTAATATCTTCTTCATGATTAAAGTTCGTTTCGCTACATATGGTATCCATGTACGTTATAAAAAGAAGCGGCGATAGTACACAACCCTGACACACACCAGAGTTCACTATAAAAGTTCTTGACAATCCTGCCTTCGATCTTATGCAGCATTTACTACGTGTGTACAGGCTTTTGCAAATATTAATTAGATGATTGCTGATTCCTTTTTTTCCCATACATTCCCACAACATATTCCTGTCGACTCTATCGAAGGCTTTGAATAGACCCACTGCCTACCCAAAAGCATGGCGTAAGAATCGACTAATTGGGAGCTTCCTTCGAAGTCGGAGTGCATCTGCCTGATAGGCAAGGAGCCAGAAGTCTGCATTCAAATGAGTCAGATCTGTAAAAGGGATGCATATGCAACACTCAGCTTCTGGAACAGGGCTGCAGTCCAAAAGTGGATGAACAACCAGAACTTTCCGCCAGAGTTTATTACAGCTGGTGAAAGCGAAGAAGAAAAAGAATACCCAGCATTAAATTCAGTCTGAAACAAATACTGAAATGGTTTGGCCAACTTGTGAGATGGATACAATGATACTGACAGCAAAAGAAACAACATGAAAAGAGAAACACCAAGAGGAGGAGGAAGACCTAGAAGGACATGGACTGAGGGAGTCACTGACAGGTTAAGGCTTCACAATATCACAATATATTTACAAAGTAACCGAGCATGCCCTGGCTCAGCCATCTATAATTTGTTAAACTATGATGCCTAGCGGCACAAAAGCAGATGTTGGACAAAGAAACATATGCCAGAGTAACAAGAAAATAAAAAAATAAAATAAAAATACAGAAATGAGAATGCACTATAACAGATTACCACCATCAACAACTACAGCCAACAACATCAACCGCTGCTAGAGCAACAACAATTACAACAACAGCAGCAGCCGCTATCAACAACAACACCAGCAACAGCCCCCTGCTAGTTACCTCAGGCAAATTATCATCAAACATGAGTTCGTCCAGTGTCCGAAAAGTCATACTCCGGTCCACCTTTTCTGCCCTGAAAACTTTATGTCTGCGCCGTCGCTGCATGCGGGGGGACCCACAACCATCAGTGTAGATATCTGCATCTGACTCAGAGCTGGCATCACTCTCTATAGCCGCGCCCGCCTGCCCTTGCTCCACTGCTGGGGAAGATGGTCAAGGGGGAGATGGTAAAGGGGGAAATGGTCAAGGAGATGATCAAGAGGGATATACAGTCAAGGGGGAAATGGTCAAGGAGGAGATGGTCAACAGAAGATGATCAAGAGGGAGATGGTCAAGGGGGTATGTTCAAGGAGATGATTAAGAGGAAGATGGTCACTGTCCTTAATTTACTTTACCTAATCATCAAAGAATATAACAGTGAAGTGGAATTAATGATACATAAAAAACAAATAATGTACAAATACAAAAAAAAACAAAAAACAACCCTAGAAAAAAAAAATTACAATTAACAAACATAGTTAAACACAGCTTAGAATGGCAACCACCAGAAAATGAAGAATGTGGACATAACATTCACCATCATCATTTATCAACATGTGATTTGCTGATACAACATAGGTTCCATACTTTAACACACTTTTTGTTTCTGTCCATGTCTCACATGCATATAACAACATAGGTTTTATATAGAACTTACACAGACACTTTTTATTAATGTCGATGTCTCACAAACATATAACAACACAGGTTTGTACCACATTTAACACTTTTTTCATTATTATCCATGTCTCACATGCATAGAACAACTTATATGCACCAACCTTTGCCTAAAGACTTGATCTTTGGGTCATAGATGATAAAGTCCGGGCGGAGTTTGCTGGCCCGCTTGCCTTTTAGAAGAGGTATCAGTCCCCCGAGATATTCTAGGTACAAGGTATAATGTCCGCCCGAAGTCTCCTCACCGTGGCGAATCATTGTGCAGAATAATCGCTCACCACCAGGGGGCGGGCTACAAACAAACTCTCGCAGACGTAGAGGATCTGGGATGTAGCTCTGATGAAGAAACCATGAAATAAATAATCCAGATTTTCAAAAGCAGAGAGGGTCCAAAAACAAACATCAGAATGAGACACCTATCATGTTTTAGCCGCTTCCACCTCCCCCTGACCTAATCTATTTGAAAGAGAGAAAGATAGATGAGAGAAAGAGATCAGCTGAGATTAATTTCCCATGTGGCTGACTGTCACTGCGCAGGGGAGAGAAAGAGAGACAGAGAGAGAGAGAGAGAGAGAGAGAGAGAGAGAGAGAGAGAGAGAGAGAGAGAGAGAGAGAGGTCAGCTGAGATCAATCTCACACGTGACTGACCTTCATTGTTGGAGACAGCCAGTCAGCCAGCTAGAGTTATCATTGTGACCCCACGTCATGGCTGTTAGAGGTTTACCCTGTGGAAGCAGAGGAGCAAGTAATGGACAACTCAGCACAGAAATCAACAAATTTTCATTTTTATTTTTGAAGAGTTAAGAATTGGGTTCACTGACCTATCTAACATTCTGCCCTTCTGACTTCAGTCCTGTCACAAATTATTTCCTTCATACATATTTTAATAGGTAACAATAAACATCATTAACGTATGATTATCATACTTATTTAAAAAGTACACTTGAAATATATAAAATTTAACAACCTATGCTCATACAATCTGTTACAATTAATGCATACATTCAATATTAAATAACTAAAATTATCTGACAAATATAAATATCCAATATTGAAGAAGAAAATAATCTATATACCTAAAAATTACAACTCTGATGGGCTGAACAGGATACTGTTGTTTTAACTACTACTACATCATAGACAACAACTACATACTAGGTTCGTAGGAAGATCACCAAAGGAAAAACAGTCAGATAACAATCATATATTTTGACACAGCTTTATCCATGAATAAAACCAACAGGAATACTTGACCACAATAAAACGATCCTAATGACTGAAACCTGCAACAATACTCTGATTTCTATAAATAAAAAATAAAAATTAAAAAGCAGGATAATGGAAGTGTACCAAGGAACAACAAATACTGGAAGTTGTTAACAGACCCACACTGTACCAGGGAACACCATATACAGGGGACTGTCAACAGACCCACACTGTACCAGGGAACACCATATACAGGGGACTGTCAACAGACCCACACTGTACCAGGGAACACCATATACAGGGGACTGTCAACAGACCCACACTGTACCAGGGAACACCATATACAGGGGACTGTCAACAGACCCACACTGTACCAAGGAACACCATATACAGGGGACTGTCAACAGACCCACTCTGTACCAAGGAACACCATATAGAGGGGACTGTCAACAGACCCACACTGTATCAAGGAACACCATATACAGGGGACTGTCAACAGACCCACACTGTACCAAGGAACACCATATAGAGGGGATTGTCAACAGACCCACACTGTACCAAGGAACACCATATAGAGGGGACTGTCAACAGACCCACACTGTACCAAGGAACATCATATACAGGGGACTGTCAACAGACCCACACTGTACCAAGGAACACCATATAGAGGGGACTGTCAACAGACCCACACTGTACCAAGGAACATCATATACAGGGGACTTTCAACAGACCCACACTGTACCAAGGAACATCATAGGGTGTTTTTTGACAATTTTAACATCTGCATCATGTGATAAGACTTGGATCAGGAGCATACAATGGACTTTCTGTCCAGGATATTTGTGTGTGCAGGGGGTAATGAGAAGGTTGATTGACTGGCTGCTGTCACTGCTCTGGGTGGTAAGCTATTGAACGGTGAAGGCTCTCAACGGTTATAAGACAAAGAAAATGGCACTATATTAGGCACATTCTCTATAGAAAGAAGCAGAGATTCACCAAACAGACCAAGAAATGGGAAACAAATGGATTAAGGAAATGATGACAACATTCAAGAAAAAACTCTAAAATGAAAGCCGATGAAAGTGACCAAAGGTGCTGGATTGGATTACATCCGTAACACTGAAAGGATGGCATGTGAGAGAATAGAAAAGAGGAATAGACTGCAAGCCTTAGGTGAGATATAATGGCACAACAAGATGATAATGATGATCTGAAATCAAGTCAGTTGGGGGGGGGGGGGGACCTTACCCTTTAACCCAGAGAATTCTAAAAAAATCTACTGATCCATATTTTTATTATTTCAAAATATACAAAGATATATAAAAGAAATAATTAGTGGACAAGAATTTGGTGTGGCTTTAAATGAAAGGCTTTTCCCGGGGCCAAAAATAAACATATATTGAGAGACTTATGCCATGACCCTCTGAACACTATCAGTGAGGATTAGTGGAAAATTTAAGTCAACCTGGCTTTAAAAAAGCTATTGGAATCACAAGGAAACCCTTCTAAATGCTATACTTAGTTAATATGTTCATATCCTCCTAAACATTTCGCAGGGGCAAACAGAACCAACAGAATTTAACTACGCATTTTAAGAATAGGTCACTGCAGAAATGGTCATATGCTGGTATTTAATGGGTTGTGTCACAACCATAAGTGACTAGATTTTGCCTTTTCACGGTAATAAGGTTAATACAATAGGCTGGTAGGACATACCTGAGAAGGCACACTGACCCAGCGTATCAAACTTCCATCCTTGGAGTAGAGGTGCAACTCATTGCGACACTGCAGATTTGGGAGGCGGACAAACCCGCCAACAGCCAAGTACTCCCCACAGTTTGACCAATCAATTTTTACACCTGGCAGAAGAATGTTACAGATATCAGCAAGTTGTATATAATATATATATATATATATATATATATATATATATATATATATATATATATATATATATATATATATATATATATATATATATATATATATATATATATATATATATATATATATATATATACACAATCATCAAATCTCATGACCAGAGGCACAATCATATAATTACACAACCAGAGACACAATCATCAAATTACATGATCAGAGATGCGAACAAGAAATCAGACGACCAGAGACACAATCATCAAATCACATGACCAGAGACACAATCATCAAATCACATGGCCAGAGACATAATCCTAAAATCACATGACCAGAGACACAATCATCAAATCACATAAACAGATATGCAGACATTAAATCACACAATCAGAGATGCAAACTTAAATCACATGACCAGAGACACAATCATCAAATCACACAACCATTTACACAATCATTAAATCAGAGGACAGCGAAAAATCATCAAATCATATGACCAGAGACACAATTATCAAATCACACCACCAGAGACATAATCATCAAATCAAATGACCAGAGACCACGAGATCAAATCCTAGATCAGAGATGCAAACACTAAATCACATGACCAGAGATACAATCATCAAGTCACACAACCACAAACACAATCATTTAATCACACGATAAATCACATGACCAGAGACACAACATCAAATCACACGACCATAGACACAATAATTAAATCAAATGACCAGATGGGCAAACACTAAATCACACGACCAGAGACACAATCATCAAATCACATGACAAGAGACACAAACATTAAATCACACAATCAAAGATACAAACATCAAACTACACAACCAGAGATGCAAATATTAAATCACACCACCAAAGACATAATCGTCAAATTACAGGACCAAAGATGTAATCATCAAATCAAAGACCAGAGATACAATCACCGAATCACACGACCAGAGATACCATCATCAAACGACACGACCAGAGACACAAATATCAAATCACATGACCAGAGACACAATCATCAAATCACACAACCAGAGATGCAAACAATAAATCATACAACCACAGACACAATCATCAAATCATATAAACAGATATGCTGACATTAAATCACACAATCAGAGATGCAAACATTAAATCACATGACCAGAGACACAATCACCAAATCACACAATCATTTACACAATCAATAAATCACACGACAAAGACAAATCATTTGACCAGAGACACAATTATCAAATCATACCACCAGAGACACAATCATCAAATCATATGACTAGAAACACAATCATCAAATCACATGACCAGAGATCACGAAATCAAATCCTAGATCAGAGATGCAAACACTAAATCACATTGCCAGAGATACAATCATCAAGTCACACAACCACAAACAATCATTTAATCACACGATAAATCACATGACCAGAGACACCACATTAAATCACACGACCATAGACACAATAATCAAAATAAATGACCAGATAGGCAAACTCTATATCACACAACCAGAGACACAATCATCAAATCACATGACAAGAGACACAAACATTAAATCACACAATCAAAGATACAAACATCAAACTACACAACCAGAGATGCAAATATTAAATTCCACCACCAAAGACATAATCATCAAATTACAGGACCAAAGATGTAATCATCAAATCAAAGACCAGAGATACAATCATCAAATCACACAACCAAAGATAACAAAATCAAACCACACAACCAGAGACACAAATATCAAATCACATGACCAGAGACGCAATCCTCAAATCACATGAACCACAGATACAAACATCAAATTACGTGACCGTAGCTATAAACATTAAATCACATTAAACATCAAATCACGCAGACAGAAATATCAAACCACACAGATACAAACATAAAATCACATGATCATAGACGCAAGCATAAAACCACTCGACCATAGCTACACACATCAAGCCACACAGAAATCATCAACAAATCATCCTAGATACTAGATCCTGAATTAATTTAAAAAAAAAAAAAAAACAAGTCCCACATGGGGAAAAACACCACATACCTGTCAGTGTTGTGTAGATCATCACCGGACACACATCATCGTAGCCAGACATCAGAAAGATGTCGCCGTACTTGAAACATACAGCTAGGATGTACGACTTGGTAGAATCGTCTACAGTGGTTTGACAAGTACAAATATGAGATATACAATTAAAACAAATCCTAAAACAAATGACCGGTTTGTTGGTTGTTTGGTTAGCTAGTTGGAGGGACAGATGGCTGGTTAGCTGGATGGTTTGTTGAACAGATCAATGGAGTGATGAACAGATGAATACTGGGTTGGCTGGATGGATGATTTAATGTTTAACTGGTTTGAACTAGGGGTGGGAAACCTTTCTTTCTTTTTTTTTCTTTTTTTTTGCGGTCAACCAAAATTTAAACCTTACTCGTGGGCCTCACACAAAAAATCCATTATAAGCATAACACCAGGATTTCCTAGTTACATGATATTTTTGTATAATAAGATTATAATCACTCGCTACCACTCTGGCCAGACACACTCACCCACTGTAGCACTTCTATATATCCCTAAATGTGTTCTTTCAAGCTGGTTGTTTACAGAAATCATATGAGTGAAGGAAGGTGGGAAGGAAAAGTCAGATTTGGCCCATGGGCTATAGTTTGCCCACCCCTAGCTACAACCATATAAAAGACCATCTATTTTAACTATTTATTGTCAGATAATTAATCATCAGATATCTGAGCCATTAAAAAAGGCTGGCATCTATCAGAGTGAGGGTCGTGAAGAGATATTTCGCCCAACCTGGTATTGTAGTGCCCTCTTTACAGAAACTGTATTGGAGAATTCTCCTTCCGCAACCCAGCTTCGAAACAGTGGGAAGAGAGTGTTCACGATTGGAATAAACAGTGAAGAGCAACAATACTTTCATTCAGGATAAATTACTCTCCTGGAGTCTCCCCTTGCTGAGGTGGAGAAGAATGTGTTTCTCAAGGGCTCTGAGAGCTATGCCGGCGGTAGCGTAGAGCTACCAGCAAGACCTCCAAAGCCAGACACTTCAAAGGATAGACGGCAGACAGACAGAAACCCTGGTCCTCCAAGTTGGGGCATGAAGCATGGGGTTGACACCCACATCCTTGAAAACCTCATTTTGTCAGAAGCTTCAAAATCGAACAGATTTCATAGAGATGAATGCAGGTGGATGATATCTGCAGCCCTGAACCTCAGTGGCTCGGAAGGCATAATAATAATAATAATAAAACATGTAGAAAGTGACAAGGCAGGCTGGACTCCTTTTTCATCTGTTCAACACATCATTCCTAAATGCAGGAGTATGGCTTCCTTCTCTAGAATAAGTGAAATTCATCTGAAGTGATGCATGGTCATCTCAAATATAGACTACCCGGAAATACAATCAGTAAAACTGCCCTCACACACAGTGCAATGTGTGAGCCAAGCACCTGCATATGTGAGCCAAGCGCCTGCATTTGAATGATTCAAGCACATATTCTATGAATCATGGACTCTGCATTTGCCTCATTTCATCATCATGTTGTGCCGTTATACATCACACAGGGCTTACAGTTTAATCCTCCATTCTGACTAGTATTGGTGAACTGAAGGCGGGGTAGCATAGTAGCTAGTAGTCTCTTAACTACTCGTTAGTCATGTGTTCAAATTTCAACAGATGCAGGGATTACAAAAAATTGTTCCTGGGATTCCAGGCTGAACCAGACTTAAATCAGTATCAGGAAATGTTCTGGGAAGTAAAGACAGCCAGTCTGATTGTGACCACATCATCCATCGATGGAATATGTCTGTTACTTGTTAAATTACAGCATACTACATCCCAATCTGCCACAAGAATGAATGAATTTTATTTTTAAAAGGTGTAAAACTGGGGCTGTAGACCCATCTCCTAACTTTCTCTGCCTTTAAGGTTTAGAAAAGGTTATCTTTTTAAAACGGCCGGCGTAATGCTGACCACATTACCCATCCAGTGCCGATTGGTCTGTAAAAATATGGGACGCTCTTCCCATATACCCGATGCGCCTAAGGCGTGAAAAGGGATCTTTACTTTTACTTTTACTTAACTTTTTAATGGCAGAAGCATTTCCATGTGAAGACAGTAGTCAAACACTGTGACAAACTGAGCTGAGCATAGTTGAGTTTCAGGAACCACCATCATAGCACTCAGAACATTCTTATAAGCACTGTGTCCCCACATTTAGCAGCCAGCACAGAGTTCTCATTCTGATGGTACTAGCAGCAGTTTGATTGTATGTCCATCTTGCCTTTTTCCTGAGTGCTGAGTCTCAGCCAGTTCCTCATCACTACTACCCACTTCACCACGCTCTTCAAACCGTAACAATCTATTTGTGCTTCTGCACTGTTCACTCAGTACCAATAAACCTAGACCATATCCAGCTTGTTATGTATCATCATTCTATCCTGTGCTAAAGAAACAGCCAATCTGTCTGCCTATTCATTTTCCAAGACTGCATAACCTGGAGAAAATATTTGAAGGACACTAACTACCCTGACTTCTGAAGTAATGTTTGTCACTCAACATGAAGCATACTGACAAACTACCCACCTTTAGCTGCCTGTTCAGCTCCTTCTTTGCCAGCATCCGCCTCTTCCATATTAAATTTCTCACAAGACCAGGCCATGCTGGTGATCTCAAAACCTTCATGGACAGCTACTTGGGTCACCAGAGCTCCCGCCGAGCTCATGACAATTATCTGGCCATCTACAGTCCCAAACATCACCTACAATTATACAACAATCGATGCCTAATTCTACAGCCAAACAATATATATTTAAAAACAAGTGACTAAATTCCAGCATTTCTGGTATCAGGATGGCTTCTTCAAGGTGACTGCCCTAATAATATCGTCAAAAGATATCATGAAAAGATATAAACCCAAATAAAAAACAGAACCAGTTTACGTCCCATTATCACAAACACTTCTTAATAATATTACATTGTTGTTTTCTGACAGAAGTGATATAATGCATATTGAGATTCTTACTTTACTGAATGTGAATAGCCGTTAGATGGGTTTTAGGGAAATATTTTTTTCAATTTTCAGAGAACTGGAGACAGGTCTACAAAGAGAGAAATGGAGACAGGTTTACAGAGGGAGAACTGGAGACAGGCTTTAAGAAGGAGAACTGGAGACAAGCTTGAAGAGGGGAAATTGGAGACAGACTTACACAAGGACAACTGGAGTCAGGTTTACAGAGGAACCGTTTTACAGAGAAAGAATTGGAAACAGGCTTAAAGAGTGAGAACCGCCGACATGTTTACACAGGGAGAACTGGAGACAGGCTTACAGACTGAAAACTGAAAACATGCTTAGAGAGGGAGAACTGGAGACAGGTTTACATAGGCAGAACTGGAGACAGGTTTACAGAGGGAGTACAGGAAACAGGTTTACAGAGGGAGAAGTGGAGACAGGCTTACAGAGGGGGAACTGGAAACAGGTTTACAGAGGGAGAACTGGAGACAGGCTTGCAGAGGAAGAATTGGAAATATGTGTACAGAGGGAGAACTGGAGACATGTCTTCATAGGTAGAACAGCAGACATGTTTACAGAGGGAGAACTGGAGACATGTTTTCATAGGTAGAACAGGAGACAGGTTTACAGAGAGAGAACTGGAGACATGTTTACATAGGGAGAACTGGAGACAGGTTTACAGAGGGAGAACTAGAGACAGGCTTACACAGCAAGAACTGGAGACAGGCTTACAAAGGGAGAACTGAAGACATGTTTATAAAGACAGAACTGGATACAGGCTTAGAGAGGGAGAACTGGAGACATGTTTACATAGGGAGAACTGGAGACAGGTTTACAGAGGGAGAACTAGAGACAGGCTTACACAGCAAGAACTGGAGACAGGCTTACAAAGGGAGAACTAGAAACATGTTTACATAGGGAGAACTGGAGACAAGCTTACAGAGGGAGAATTGAAGACATGTTTATAGAGACAGAACTGGATACAGGCTTACAAAAGGAGAACGAGACAGGCTTACAGAGGGAGAAATGGAGATGATGACAGTTGATGAATGAATGAGAAATAACGGACTCATTCACACAACTTACCAATGCCGATTCCAGGGAACTAATGTTGTTGGGAGGGGAAGGACAGACCCACTGCATGTCTAACAGGTACTTCATAAAAGTTGACTAATTAGGGTAACTAAAATCAGAGGCATTGGATCAAAATATGCAGATATCACAGTCTAGCTGTAAACCACAACACACATTAACAACCTTTTTTAGGGGTGAATGAAGACATATAATAATAATAAAACAGCAGTAACATAGGCATGCACATATACACCCATGCTTTCATGTACACACACATACATACATACATACATACATACATACATACATACATACATACATACATACATACATACATACATACATACATACACAAATACAGCAGCAGCTCTTTGAAAAACAATATTTGATTACCTGTTGATCATCCGGTGACCAGACCCCACAAGTGACATTTGTATTGTCCAGATTCAGCATAGATGACCAGTACCTCTGTCCAGCCACGCTGCCTACCAGAATAAAGCCGTCCCTGTAGCAGATTAAAGCCATGCGTCCATCGTGGGACCAGGCAAAGTCAGTCACCTGGTGCAGGGGAATATACAAGTACATAAACTTCAGTTCTATGTCTTCTGCTTCTTCTTCTTCAATATTCTGAACCTCATTTGCTGCAGATATTACTCCCCTCCATGCATCTCTTTTACTGGCCTTTTCTTTCCCCTTGATGACTCCAAGTATTTGTATGTCTGCTTTATATTATCTCTCCACGTACTTCTTGGTCTGCCTCATGGTCTACTACTATTCTGTTCTTTTGTGTACTCAGGATGTGTCTCTCTGTTTCTGTCAATATCTCTGTATGTCAAAACCACTGCAGTGTATAAGCCCTTATGATACCAGTAATTAGTGGTTTTTTAACACTTTCCATTTTCCACTGTCTGCATCTTTATCTCCAAAGTCTTACTGGTGCTAACTAGGAAAAAGAGAATAGTAACACTGTAATCTACAATGCTTGTCATAATAGCAGTCTGAGGAGGGTTGGCATGGGCCTGGCTATCTCATGTTGTACATAACAACTATGTGAATCAAGGCCAATTTTAAACAAGCTGTCTAGAACTGGCTAAAGACCTTTACTCTAATGGCAGATGAAAGGAGGAGAAGCAGCAGCAGCAGTAGCAGCAGAAAAAGAAGAAGAAGAAGCAGAAAAAGAAGAAGAAGAAGAAGAAGCAGTAGCAGTAGTTGTTCAAGGTTCTCACTGCTTCATACCTGTCCATTAAAAGTAAATTTGATTTGTTCAATCAATCATTCATGTGTTCCATTGTTCATTAATTCATTCATATCTCTGTAGTACAGCAGTGTTTAGTACATGTAACACTTAGCTATTCTCTTCCATATTCTATTTTTTAAGTGTGTGCTGTCTCCATAATGAACTTTAGCTACAGTGTGCCCACTGCTGTCTTTTGGAATATTACATGTTGAGCCCCCAATCTTTTCCATGATACCACTCTGCACTAATAACCAAAACCCATGACTGTCACCTGTGTTTTTGCCAACAGCCTGCCCTGTACAAACTGAGCTTGCTGAGGGATCTTTAGCACACTCAACATAACCATAGTCCGGTCAAGAGAAAAGAACCCACCTGGCTGTTCCTGTCATTGATAAGCTCAATGGACCATCTCCCCTCATGCTTTATCCACACAAAGATGACACCCCTGCTGTCACATGTGGCCAGTTTCTGATATGGTTCATTCCAGCGAACCAGGATTACCTGCCAGAGAGAGGAAAGGCCAAACCTAGTTAGGACTCAATTACTCCAAAAGTAAAGTTCACTGCTAAATTATCTATTTACATGCCTACATTAATACAGATGCAAATGATTTATTTTTGTGGCTTCAATAAAGCATAGCTATAAAGAATTTGTGCAAACAAAAAGGCATAATCATGAGTTACATTTGCCCTGGTAAAAGAGCCAGTTACTTTTGAGTGTGGTTGATTTTATATTTCATTGACAATGAATAATTTATATTGCTTCACTGTATTTATTTGTTATTGTAGTGTGCATGTGCAAGCAAAATATGCCAGGCAATAAATTGTACAGTCCAATGTTTGTGTCTTCTTTGTTGAAATCTACAACAGTGAAAACTAACCCTATATTACTGAAATCTTAGTTCCAGGGAAAAATACTAATTTTAGCCAATAATTCATCATCCCAATAAAAAACAAAACTGGTCAACATTAAACAGAACAGTGCATGTTGTCACATGTTGATTTCCTGCCATGCTTTTAATGTTCCTGCCATAGTGAATTCATCAATCGTTTGACAGCATGTTTTGGAAGTATGTCATTACAAGGTACAGGCCAAGTACTTCTCTCTCTCTCTAATCCTTCTCTCTTTCTTTCTCTCACATACACCCTCACACATGCATATTGAGTGTGTGCGTGTGTGTGTGTGTGTGTGCGTGCGTGCAAGTATGTGTTATATATGTATCTGTTTCTATGGTTTCTTGATTTTTAACAACTCAGACCCTGGCAAATGGATTTCCTGCCTTTTCAGTGTTACTTCCTGGATTTTATTGTTTCATTTCCTGTTCTATCCCTGTCAACATGCACACAAGTCATGGACCATTTCACAAACACAACAGGAGGAAATTCATATCTTTGAACTTCAATGTTATAGAAAACAAACACACACACACACACACACACAAGCGTGCACATACACACATCTGCATACACACACACACATGCTTGCAAGCACTACTACATTCACCCACTTTCACCCACCCATTTATACACACAAACTCACTTACACATATAAACTCACTTACTCCCCCTCACTTATAAATACACACCTACACACTCACACATACCCACCAAATAAATACATACCTACTCATTCTCTTACACCTACACGCCCACTTACACGTTCACACATGCTTACACAATAATCCCACACACTTATTCCACTTATGCACATGTACTAATTTACACATATTGAGAATGTTCCAAGTTCAGTAAACACTATATGCATTCATTTGTATGCACATACCCACTTATACCTACACACACACATTTTCACATACCCACTAATATAAACACCTACATACTTCCACTTAAGAAACCTACTAACACAAGTACCTACCTACACATATCTACTTACACAAATACCTATACACACCCACTTAAATACCTACACAGGCCCACTTGCACACATCTACTTACACAAGTACCTACACACATCTACTCACAGACACACTCCTAAATGCATTAACCACAAGCAGTTTATTCCCAGCCCAGGATGGAATTTTGTTGAAATCTGCAGTGGTAAGAATGGTGCTGGAATACAAACAAGAAGCTGCCAGCCATCTCTCTCTCTAGGGTGGTAGTAAAACTGCAAAGGGCCCTTTACACAACAGTTGCAAAATGGGGCATATGATGCTACTCATTTTCTTTTACAGACTGATCAACCCTCAATGGGGTGTTCACTTGCGGTAAAAGTTCTTGTTATTTGTTCACTTCTGAACTCTAGTCTTGTTCCAGAATCTGATGTTTGGTGCACATTCATTTTATAGATCTGACTTGTATGCAGATTGTTGTAGGTTCCTTGCCTCTTAAGCAGATGCACTTCAAGGAAGCCCCAATTAGTCAACTATTTTGACATGCTTGTTGGGGAGGCAGTTAATCAATTCTTGTTTTCCCTACACTGGGGCCCCAGAACCTGCACTGCAAATATCACTGAACAAAATTCCTTAACATTCGAAAGCAATCCTTCTAACGAATTTAATATTTACAAATTATAATAAATTTGTCAATACTACTTAAAGTATAGACTGTGTGGCTAAGTGAAAACTTAACGCAGGTCACAGTTGTTTAGGAACCACAGATCCAGAGTGTGCTCTACTAAAATCGTGTTGTCCAGGTGACGTATCTGACTGAGAATGCTTTAAGCAGAATGGTAAACACTCAGGCCAAGAAACGCTATTCTGAGGGTTATCATTAACCTGAGCACAGGCACTGAATTCAACTGTCTCTTGTTTGCTGTTTACTGACAATTCCTATCAGTGCTCACAGTAATAGGAGGCAGCTAGGTTAATGGGCATGCCACAAGCCAACACATGCTGCATGCAATATCTCTAGTAGTTGTACTACTGACACTGTTATTTCTTCTCCTGCTGCTGCTGCTACTATTACAACTACTACTACATTACTACACAACAAACACAACATCAACAACTGTACTACAACAATAAAAATTACTACTACTACTACTACTACTGATTCTATGACTACAACAACTTTTACAAAGACTAGTACTACTGCTATAAATGCAGCTGCTACGACTTCATCTTTCTCTTCTTCTTCTCCTCTTTCTTACTTTCTTTCTTTTTTCTTTCTATCTTCACTTTTATTTTTTTTTTATTTTTCTTTGTTTATTTCCTCAATTTTTTTTACTTCTTCTCTCATTCTTGTTCTCCTTCTCATTTTTTTTCCTCTTCCTACTTCTTACTCGTCTTCTTCACTTCCTACGATTTCTTTCTACTACCCTATTTAGTCTCTGGAGATGTGGATACAAAGATCATATTTTATAGAACAAAAAACAGCCAAATACAGAAGGTTTGAAGTCAGAGTTGCTGAAGGAAATAAAAAGGAGACAAGTGAAAGATTTCAGCTATATTTAAAAGACATAACACCCTTGTTAAAAAACACATAGTGGGACAAAAAATCAAAGGCAAGTGAGCAAGAGACATACAGTGATACAAGTGAGAGGAAAACATCAAGAGATGGGAAAAATAGCAGTCTGAGAAAGTGCACTTCCAGGATGAAAGACAGAGTTGGAAATCCATTATAGCCACCTTCTTTACCAAGACGGCACTTGACTGACTAACTGAACACTGAAAGTGGGGGGAGGGAAGAGATGACAGTTACATAAGAAAGTATCTGGCAAACTTACCTCACTCCGATGGCCACGAAGGTTGAAATTTGACCTGGGCGGAGCATCATAAGAGTGACAGTGACTGGTGCTGAAGGTAACTCCCACAATCCCACGAGCATTGCCACTAGCTAACCAGCCTTCCACATAGTACTGTGCCCGGTTCAACTTCCACCCACTGCCCTCCTCCGGCAGGTCCTCCGGCACCTTTCCCATCCAGGACAGAGACAAGAAGTTGGAGTCGGTGCGCGTGCAGGTGTTTTGTTCAAAATGCACATGCATACTGGAATTAATAACCTTCTCCTTAATCGGTGTACATTACAGATTCCTTATTTTCCTTATCCACAGCTGTGTGTTTCCAACACAAGAACTTGAAACTACTGTACCTAGGGTTAAAAGTCACAAAATTCCATCAGGAATATCCACAACTTTACCTTTCCAACACAAAAACTTGAAATTACTGAGCCTTAGACAAACAGTCAATGAATTCCAATGTCAATATCAGTGTTAATGCAGACTCATCATTGAGTATTTTCTATATTACTCAACACAGCTTAAAATATTACATCTAACATGAACAGACAGTGAATTCCATTCCAAATATACATCAGAAATATGAGTTATTATTCTGCATTCACCAAAAAGAGTCAGTGAATTTCATTACAAATACAAGTGTAATTACATACTTGTCAACATGTGATGTGGCTTTCAGCATCACATAACACAACTTCAACTAATGCAAGTAAAATGAAGAGTCATTGAATTTCACAATGAAAATGAGTATAAATACATACTCATCAGTTTGCTGTGTGCCTTCTATAATCACAACCACACAACTTGAATTTCGTCACACTGCAGGCCAAAGTTTGATGCTGCAAACAATGATAATTACTCAAGACAATAAATAGAAAAGAACTACATCCAAATTAGAACAGCAGCTACCATCACCCAACTTGGATAACAGCAAATTGAGAATACAGTGTGTTGGAACCTGAATTCAGGCTTTGTCTTAGGAAGGCAACAACTAACTGAATTCCACCCACAGAAGCAAAACCTATACAGCCAGGCAGAATACACAATGCATTTTATATTCGTTATAATTTGCACAAATGTGAGATGGGGGCACAGTCTATAGTGCACATAACTGGGTCAGCAAACAGTCAAATTTTATAACAAGGACGTTGACACTGTGGTCAATTATAAGCTATCTGACAACTTCAAAGCTCAGAGACTTTTTCTGACAGATTACCAGGAACATTGACTGTCCATTTCTTTACGAAAACCACACCGCTGACAGCCATGTGAAGAACTTATTATATGGTGCTATGATACACAGCAGACACTGGTCTTTGAGAGCTACCATACGCTTCTCACAATAGATCTAGCCACAGACACTGGTCTATAAGAGATACAATACGCTTCTCAAAGGGGATCTAGCCACAAACACTGGTCTATGAGAGTTACAATACACTTCTCACAGGGGATCTAGCCACAGACACTGGGCAGTGGTCTATGATAGCTACCACACACTTCCCACAGAGGATACTGCTAACACTCAAGAGGAATGGCAAGTGGGACATACAATCACACTGCTACATATAGCATCAGTATTCAAACTCTATGCTGACTGCTGAAGATGTGAAGTGAGCACTTATGAAAATGTCCTGAGTGTTGTGATACTGCTTCTTAACTCATTTCTGACAAGAAACTTCTTGTTTAGAACTGTCAACCTTTAAACAGTATTGCCAGTTTGGATATACAGAACAACCGGTAGCAGTAGTGGTATGTCAAAGTTGGCTGTTCCATGGTATGTCAAAGTTGGCTGTTCCATGAGAAGTACTCCTGAAGATGATGATAATTTTTAGAAAAGTAAATAAAATATAATATTTGAAATAATACGTAGAAACAAAAACTTACAGAGCATAACAAAGAAACTCTATACTATAACAGGGAACACATCACAACCAACATCATCATCTTTGTCATCAACATTAACAACAATAGTAATAACTACAACAATGACAACAAACAAAGTCAACAATAACAACAATGATGATGATGACAAAAGGAAATTAACAAAATTAATCAACAAGTCAAGTTTTTTTTTAAATTACAAAAACAGTTCACTCACTTAGACATTCTTACAGAAATTTTGGCCAGATTCTTCCCTGGGAGTTTCTGTTCGTTCATACTGGCATTTGCGGAATTGATAGCCGTTTTTCCCTATCTGTCATGAGATCTGCCCAGGAAAGAAAGAGAAAAGTTTTAAACATTTGAATAATTCATATCTGACACAGAGGTACTAACATTAATGTAAACAATTAGTGTTTGTTCTGCATTAACCTCTGCGTCTTGGGCAGCCATGTGGTGGATCAGAGAGAGAGAGAGAGAGAGAGAGAGAGAGAGAGGGAGGGAGGGAGGTTGGAGGGAGAGAGGGAGAGAGAGAGAGAGGGAGAGAGAGGGAGGGAGAGAGAGAGAGAGAGAGAGAGAGAGAGAGAGAGAGAGAGAGAGAGAGAGAGAGAGAGAGAGAGAGAGAAATATTTAGGAACTTTGCTGATATACAAAGCTATGTAAAGATTTGTTACACAGAAGTGAATCATAGACAGTCAGTCGATTAGTGAAAAATTATGTGGAAATGTATTTAATTTTATAGACAAATGATGGTGGTGTGTACTTTAGTGGGTGCAATGCTGTACTTTGTGACTGACCAATTGCAAAAATAGTGAGCTGCTATGCTGGTGTGCAGCCATTAGTGTTGGCACATCTGACAGCTGCCTTAAGCATTTTTACTTTGCATGTGCAAGATTCAACCTTATTCTAGCTTTCAAATGGGACAGTGAAGGACATTTTGTGTGATTTTCACTGGCAAAGGAACAGAGCAGTTATGGAGCGACCCATCTGCAGTGATGATGTCAACTTGACTAATGACTTATGAAGCTGGGTGAGCTAGGAATGTCTTATTCAGGTGAACTGCAGTAACACAATGCACATGCTCTACACCTATAGAAAATTCACTTGTACATGATATTCGACACTAATGTTCGTTATTATGGGTAACCTGGGTCTGACACATTATTATGAGTCACCTGGGTCATGGGTCACCTGCGTCTGACATCATCACAGGTAGCCTGAGTCTGAAATTATCACAGGTAGCCTGGATCTGACATTATCACAAGCCATCTGGGTCTGGCATTATCACAAGCTATCTGGGTCTGACATTATCACAAGCCATCTGGGTCTGACATTATCACAAGCCATCTGGGTCTGACATTATCACAAGCTATCTGGGTCTGACATTATCACAAGCCATCTGGGTCTGGCATTATCACAAGCCATCTGGGTCTGACATTATCACAAGCCATCTGGGTCTGACATTATCACAAGCTATCTGGGTCTGACATTATCACAAGCTATCTGGGTCTGACATTATCACAAGCCATCTGGGTCTGACATTATCACAAGCCATCTGGGTCTGACATTATCACAAGCTATCTGGGTCTGACATTATCACAAGCTATCTGGGTCTGACATTATCACAAGTCATCTGGGTCTGACATTATCAAGGTCACCTGATCTGACTCATAGATCACCTGGGTCCATCACCTGGGGTCTGACACCATCACAGGTCACCTGATTCTGACATTATCTCTGATTACCTGGGTCTGACATCTATACAGGTAGCCTGGGTTTGATAAGATCACAGAATGCCTTACATTATCACAGGTCACCTGGGTCTGACTTTATCACTGATCACCTGGGACTAACATTATCACTGATCACCTGGGTCTAACTTTATCACTGATCACCTGGGTCTGACTTTATCACTGATCACCTGGGTCTCACTTTATCACTGATCACCTGGGTCTGACATAATCACAGGACACCTGGGTCTCACAACATCACATGTAACCTATGTCTGACATCATCACAGGTCTCCTTGGTCTGACATCATCACAGGTCACCTGGATCTGATATTTCGTATAGCTTAGGTCTGACATCATCAGGGATCACCTGGGTCCAACAACATTCACAGGCTACTTGGCTCTCAGGAGTTAACGATATCTGCAGAGACCCTGTTCGTGTTCACATACCAGCGACATTGCGGAGAAATACAAACGCCATGAAGACTGAGATATGGCCGTGGGGTTACTTGTTTGCTTCTCATATGCCAGCCGTCCTTCTGACATCTGCGCTAATTGGTTGTCACTGATTCAGTTTCTCTTTTATCCGCGCCTTCTGGTAGTTCTGTCCAAGCCCGGACACATAATGCATGGAAGGGGTTGATCTCGACCTTAGGGAGCGATATTCTGAAGGGAAACTGTCCAGATCAGGGACACGAATAATCGTGGTGATAGTCAGTCAGGCTTGTTGGGTGCTGAACAGATGTCAAATTTCCTCTTCTTCTTCAGCACCTGCTGGTGCTTGATCGCAAGACAGCACCGACAATGACTACTGCCTATAAAAAGCCAGAACTTTAGACTGATGAACAAGGCGATGATGACGAGGACAGAGAGCAGTGGAGCCACATGGTCAGATGACTAACACCAGATGACATGGGGGACGAGCTGTTTGTAATATATAATATAATAGTCGTAAAAAAGGGATGAAGAAGAAGAAGAAGAAAAAGAGGAAGAAGAAGAAGAAAGAGGACGAGCAGCAGTAGGAGGAGGAGAGAAGGAGGAAGAAGAGGAGGAGAAAAAGAAGAAGGGGGAGGAGGACGAGCAGCAGCAGCAAGAGGAGGAGAAGAAGAAGAAGAAGAGGAAGAAGAAGAAAAAGAAGAAGAAGAAGAAGAAGAAGAAGAAGAAGAAGAAGAAGAAGAAGAAGAAGAAGAAGAAGAAGAAGAAGAAGAAGAAGAAGAAGAAGAAGAAGAAGAAGAAGAAGAAGAAGAAGAAGAAGAAGAAGAAGAAGAAGAAGAAGAAGAAGAAATAGTAGCAGTGGTAGTGGTTGTACTCTTCGTTGTTGTTGCAATGGCTGCTGTTGTCACAACGACTGGTGTTACTGCTGTTGTAAGTGTAGCAACAGTAGTGCCCATATATGCAAATTTTCAATCATAACTGGAAAACCATTATGAGATGTAAGAATCACAGCCTGTAACCGTGCGGACAGAACAAGTTACAGCCCCCGGGTTAAAACCCGGCCTTGTTTAGAAGTAGAGGTTGGATTAAGTCGTCAGCGTTCAAGTCCAAATCGGGTAATAAGGCAGTGCCATCAAGTCCAAGTCAAGTTTTAAGTCACCAAGAATGCTTCCAAGTCGAGTCCCGAGTCAAGACACTTCAGGTATC